TTTTTTACCCTCTGCTTCCCTTTTAATTATAAATTTTGGCTTTACTTCATGCCTTTGCTGCCACAACTAAGTGTAGGCTGTTACAAGTAGCCATAGAGCTGCCTGATGCTTTACTGCTTAGCAATTGCTTCCACCAAATACACTGGTTCATCACTTTTTAAGCTCCACATTTCATAAAACTTTAAGGCATGGATATAAGTCAGCCAAGTTCCTTACCAGTTCATAACAAGGGTGACTTTTGCTCCAGTTTCTAGTAAGCTCCTTCTCATTTACACCTAAAGCCTCCTCCAGAATGGCCTTTACTATCCATATTTCTATTAGCATTCTGGTCACTTGCACTTAACCAGTCTCTATGACCTTTCAAACTTTACCTGATCCTCTTGTCTTCTTGTTTTCCCTTTACCAGAATCTAGGCTTTTTCTAGCCTGGTCCTCCAAATTCTTCTAGCCTCTGCATATAACCCAGTTCCAAAGCACCTTCCATATTTTCAGGTACTCATAATTAGCAACACCCCACTTCTTAGTACCAATTTTCTCTATTGCTGTTTTCTCCTGCTTAAACACAGTACCTGAAATTGGGTAATTTATAAAAACAAAATTCATTTCTTATAGTTTAGGAGGCTGGGAAGCCCACGGTCCAGGGGCCATATCTGGTGAGAACTTCTTGGTGATGACTCTCTACAGCAATGCAGGGTATCACATGGCAAGAATGGCATGAGCTCTCTCATGTGCTGTACTTATGAAGCCACCCGTCCACACCCACGGTAACTCATTACTCCATGAAAGGATTAATCTAATCATGAGAGCATGGTCCTCACAATCCAATCACTTCTTAAAGGCCCACCTTTCAAATACTATAATCAGATTTCTCATCGTCCTAACACTGTTACAATGGGGATCAAGTTTTTAACACATGAACTTTTGGGGGACCTATAGCAAATGAGAAAACATGGATTCTTCAAATAAATAAAACAATTTATGGAAAATCATGCTCCTAGTAACTGACAGATGTGAAAGTCGCATGTTGGTACACTTAAATCTAAAATTTACATATTTTACTTTAAACTACATTTTCTTCCTTTGGAACACATTTTAGAAAGTATTAGCTCAAAGTTACATAATATTAATGTTATGTCTACAAAGGAGAATTCTCTGCCCAAAGCTTCCTTAATCTTCCTTTCTTAATTAGCTGTGATTAACTGGTTCAGTGGAATATGTAATTTTTAAGAACAGATTTATTGAGATAACTCGCATACCATACAATTCACCCACTTAAACTGTATAATTCAATGGTTTGGGGTATGCTACATTATTAATTTTTTTTAATTTGTGATACAATATATAAAACACAAAATTCACCATTTTGACCATTTTTTTCCCTTTAAGAGTGTCAGCTGGATCCATTTTGACCATTTTTAAGTGTACAATTCAGCAGCATTAATTACATCCATAATGTTGTACAACCAGCACCAGGCATATGCAGATTTTTAAATAATTAACATGAGAAACAGTTTAGTCTTAAAAGAGGTCACAAAGTCTTAAAATAATTCACAAGTTAATCATTTTTTTAAAAGTTGTTTGATAATAAAATTTTTATTTAAGAGTAACAATTGAATCGAGAGCATGTTGCAGAATCAAAGGGGAAATGTATAAAAACTAGCAATCACTATAACATTTTGAAATTATTTTGCGGTATTTTTAAAAAAATGGGAAAAGGCAAA